CATCGCCCCTATTAGTTCATGTAGACACTCTCTCTGAGCCCTACCACATCATCCTTGAACGCAATGAGGGCTGGCTCTGTCACGGCCTTCAATTGTGTGCTAGCCTACCTTGGCTTCTTGGCCCTGGGGAGCTTCACTGTGGCGTTTTTTGCCAGAAGGCTCCCTGACGCCTTCAATGAAGCTGAGTTCCTGACTTCAGCATGCTGATATTCTGCAGCATCTGGATCACCTTCCTCTTTGTGTACCATACTTCCAAACGGAAGATTACGCTCACCCTTGAGATCGTTGCCATCTTGGCCTCAGGTGCCAGATTACTAGGATGCATTTTTCCTCAAATGCTACGTTATTCTTCTTAAGCTAGAAAGGAACACCCTGCAAGGGACAAGGAAAAAAAAAAAAAAGATTTGCGTCTCAACCAAAAAAAGAAAGAGCTATCTGAAAAAGAAACCTAACACTTTTACAGATAGATGTTAGACAACAACTGAGTATGGCTCAGCCCCTTCATTTAACAAAACATACTTTTTCTATCCGTTCTTTTAAGACATATACATATAGATATTTTAGTTTTTAATTTCATTAATAAATAAATTTTTAAAATCTTAATGCATAAAAATGGCTTATCAGAATCACAAGTCCCTTCTTTTAACTATTTCTGTTTTTATATCTTCAAATGGTGAATTTCTAATCTATAAATACTGTGATTAAACTTTTTGATTCTAGAACGATACATATGACCTGTTGTCTTCCAGTTTAAAAAAAAAAAACTGATTTTTTTCCTGAAATCCATTTCTCCAGCCCACCCATAATAAAATCTGTTACTACTCAGTGGTTTCCCACTAATGTCTTCATGGTGAATTGACCATGACAAAGTCAGCATATCCTGTCCTGCCATGATCCCCAGAAGGAAACTTGGAAAACCGTAACACTCAATTTTTTGTTGTTTAATTAAATCGTTTTTTTACTTTTTTAAGTGTTTTATTACTGTAAGTGTTCTATTAAGATATGTGTTAAAAATATTGATCTACAATTAAACTAATTACTTGTTACCCTCAATATCTCTACTGCTTTTTCATTTCTTATGCTGGTACACACTTTATTCTTTATTATAGTTATAAAATACTTTCCTAGTTCCGTTTTCTTAGCTCAAACACTCTTCTGCTCTAATGTTCATTTATAGTCGTTATTTTTTCTAGATTATTTTCTGTCCTTAAGAAAACAACTTTTTTTTCTAAATATTATTACTATTTTATTAATCTTATTTGGATTTTTTTCTTTTTTTAATTATTGTACTTCAGATGAAGGTTTACAGAACAAACAGGCGTCTCAGTAAACAGTACACATATTGTTTTATGAAATTGGTTAAGAAAGCAACTCTCATTTAGAAAATTAGTTATATATATATATTTCACCCTAAAGAAATGTGTGAAAAACAAAAGATGTTAATACTCTAATGAGGCAACTGCTACTGAACAGTTCTGAATGAAGAAACATATACTTTCCTTTAGAGAAAATGCCACATCAGTATTGGCAGTATAATCTATTTACAGGGAAAACCTGGTCTTGAAACCCAATAAACGTGCAGTTTCTCCTATACAAAGAAATACAACAGGGTTTTCACTGAGAAACAAACTCCTCCACATTAGGTTAATCTTATCACATCCAGACATGAGCCAGGCAGGTGGGAGTACTTTGTGTGACTGGGACAATGCCCTTCAGGAGGCTGTATATGCTCTAAATCAGCATCCACTATATGGTGCCGTTTCTCCCATAGCTAAGATTCATGGACTCAGAAATCAAGGGGTGGAAACTGGAGTGGCTCCCCTTACTATTTTTTAGTGATTCATTAGCAAAAAAAAATTTTTTTTTAATGTACTTTAGATGAAGGTTTACAGAACTAGCTTCTCATTAAACAGTACATAATATTGTTTTATGACATTGGTTAACAACACCATGACATGTCAGTACTCTCCCTTCTCGACCTTGGGTTCCCTATTACCAGCTTTCCTGGTCCCTCCTGCCTTCTAGTCCTTGCCCCTGGGCTGGTGTGCCCCTTTAGTCTCGTTTTGTCCTATGGGCCTGTCTAATCTTTGGCTAAAAGATGAACCTCCAGAGTGACTTCATTACTGAGCTAAAAGGGTGTCTGGAGGCCATACCCGCAGGGTTTCTCCAGCCTCTGTCAGGCCAGTAAGTCTAGTCTTTTTTTGAGTTAGAATTTTGTTCTACATTCTTCTCCAGCTCTGTCCAGGACCCTCTATGGTGATCCCTGTCAGAACAGTCAGTGGTGGTAGCCAGGCACCATCTAGTTGTACTGTCACTAGCAAATTTTTGCTTCCTATTCCCGTGATCTTATTCTCTTCTGATCTAGAAATCTTGGTTCCACAGGGATGAATGCTTCCACCAGGAGACACAACAGGGAATCTGTCAAACTGGAGGTTGAGACGGCCACCCAGCCACTTGGGGTTCCTAATGCCTCTGAAACAAGAGGCCAAAGGGGAGTTATGTACTGATCGGATTGACTGATCCTGATTACCAAGGGGAAATTGGGTTGGAACCACACAGTGGAGATAAGAAAGGATATATCTGGAATACCATAGATTTCCTTAGGGTATCTCTTAGTACTACTATGTCCTGTGATTAAAATCAATGAGAAATTACAACAACCCAATTCAAACAGCAGTGCTAATGGCCCAGACCCTTCAGGAATAAAGGTTATCCCACCAGGTAATGAACTACAATCAGCTGAGGTGCTGCTGAGGGCAAAGGATGTACAAAATAGGCAGTGGAAGAAGGCAGTTATAAATACCAGCTACAACCAAGTATCCATTTGCAGGAATGAAGACATCAATAGTAATGAATATTATCTTGTTATGAATATGCTTATATCCACATGTTAAGCAAATATTTGTTTTCTTCCTTTTCTTATTATATCATCTAACATAAGATATATAGATAATAATTAACTTTATATCACAGCATTCAAGTTACACAATTATCAATGAGAAGAGTGAAAATCACCCAACGACTTTGCATCCTCTTTTAAGCATGTTTTCAGCCATACCCAGGATGGTCATGTTAGGTGGAAGTATGATTTTGTTCTTGTCTTTATTCAGAGATTAAGTATGGTTTAAGGAGATGTATATAGACGCCAGGTTGACAAGGGGTAGAGTGTGATGGTCAATTTTACATCAAATAGGCTACCCATAAAAACCAAACCAACTCTGTTGCCGTGGACTTAATCCTGACTCACAGTAACCCTATAAGAAAGAGTAGAGGAGATGGGTGTTTTGGAGGAATCTATTCCCCTCTGTCTCCTATATATCGATATATAATAAACATCTTGCTGCTCACCTCACCCATCTCTCAGAATTGGCTATTGCGGTAGGCGGCTCCAATCCAGGTTACTGCGGTAACAAATTTGGTGGCCCATGCAGGGACCTCAAGCCACTTGAGACGCAGCGGCCCCGGGGCAGGGCCTGGGACTGATCGACAGTTCCCCTGACAAGCGGCAGCGAGAGGTTTCATTTGCCTCTGGGGAGACAGTTGGCCAGACCTGGGTCTGTCACAGCACAGCTGGTCCCCAACCGCGCCAAAAGAGGTTCTTTTCCAGGAAAAGCTGAAGGAAAAAGTGCTTCCCTAATCCTCACCGGAAGGTCCCCTCTGTGTCATGCCAATTGAGCTAGATGTTCCCCGAGACCATGGTCCCCAGAGCCCTCTGCCCAGCAATTCAGTCCCTCAGGGAGTTTGGATGTGTCTGTGGGGCTTCCATGACCTTTCCTTGTACAAGCTGTGCTAGTTTCTCCTGTATTGCGTACTGTCCCACCCTTCACCCAAGATACCACTTATCTATTATCTATTTAGTATTCCCCCCCCCACCCCTCCCATCCCTGGTAACCAACAACTGCCAGAAGTATTTTTATAAGCGTATAAACATATTTGTATACACAAGTGTACATACATAGTTTGATTTACATCAGTAGGTTTCTACTTCACATTAACTTCGTTTTGGAGACATTCACCAGCGCAGACATCTCCCTCGGTCCTTGGAACTGCTGGATGTGCCGCGCTGTCTTCTCTCATGCCCTAGCGACTGGCATTTAACTTTTTGCCAATGCCTCGCTCTCACAGCAAAGAAAATGCCTTTGAGCCTCCTTCTTTGGCGCACGCATGGGAACCCCGCTAGATCCCAAGAAGCGAAAATTGCTGAGTCAAAGGAAATATGCGCGCACTTAACGGGAAAGATATTGCAAAATTGTCCTCAAAAGAGGTGGGCCTTAGACTCCGACTGACACGGTAGGTGCCTCCTCTCTCCAAGAGCTCTCACCATGTTACCAAACTGTCCATCTTTGCTTCCGAGGTGTAAAAGACGATTCCCGAAGTAGTTTCAATGTGTATTTGTCTCTTCATGTGCGAAATGAACCGTCCCCTCAAGTATCTAAAAGCCATCATACTTCAACGGAGACCTTGTGGATTTGACTCCACCGGTTGTGTGCCCTCCAGTCATTCTGACTCATAGCGACCCTACAGGACAGAGCAGAACTGTCCTCATTTAACCACTGGCCACCAGGACCTCGACTGTAAATCCCGAAATCATTAGGTGGCCTTTGCCGCAACCTACCATGGCGCCCACAACGGCTACTTCCGTGATCCTGAAGAGACGAAGAGACCCACTCCACCATCAAAAATGGCGTCGCTGCCTTCAGCCTCCACTTTGCGCACGCGTCCCTTACTTCCACGCCCCCCCACTCCCGATGGCCTGTCCTGGCTACGCTCTAGCCGACGATGTCGGTGGGCGCCACCGCCGGCCAATCGCAGAGCGCAGGCGCCGGCTCGCCCCGCCCCGCGGATCAGCTGAGGGACCAGGGATGTCTGTTGACAGTGGCCGAGCAGCCGGTTCCGGGTTCCTCGCGGGTCGGGGGGTAAGCTGGGCGGGTGGAGGGGGCTGCAGCGGGCTGGCCGCGGAGGACGGGCTGCGGCCGCGGGGGAGGTGCCAGCCCGCCTGCCGGCGTCCTTTCCTGGCCCGTTGACGTTGGCCTCGGTAGCTGCGAGGGCCCCGGGGGAGGAGGGGCGCGGGCAGACGGGCATCTTCGGGGTCGGTAAGCCCTCATCCGACGTGTCGGGGCTGTTAGATGTGAATCTCGATGGAGCAGCCCGAGGAAGGCGAGCAGGCGCAGCAGCAGCCCTGGGGAAGGCTCCTCCGCCTAGGCGCCGAAGAGGGCGAGTCGCACATCCTGCTGTGGAAACGGGAGTGGACCATCGGGCGGAGGAGAGGTACGGGGGTCCGCCGGGAGGGGTTGAGGGGCCAGTGGAATGGGAGTTGGGGAGAGGAGCGAGAAGGAGGGGCGGGGGATGGAAAGAGCGAGGGGCGGAGGGCGGGACGGGGCGTGGGCGGTGCCCGGAAGGCCCCACTGGGCAGCTGGGAGGCCACACGGCCAGGGACACAGTGTGCTCTCCAGTTTTATCCAGTGGAGTGCGTTCTGGTATAATAGCTGCCATTTATTGAGTTATTTGTCTGCCTATCACTCATTTAAGTGCTTCGTGCAGATTATTTACAACTTTATGAAGTCGGTGCAATTAATAGAACTTTGGAATGCAAACTTCTCAAATTCGTTATTATACAAAGTGTTTTTTCTGGTGACAATGGAATGAAACTAGAAATCATAACAGAAGGAAAACTGAAAAATTAACTCATGTGCAAATTAAACAACACACTGTTAAATAACCAATAGATTTCAAGAAAGAATTACACAGGAAGTTAGAAAATGCATTGAGAAGAATGAAAATGAAGCGATGAAATACCAGAGTTTAAGGAATGCAGCTAAAGCAGTTCTCAGAGGAAAATTGATACCTGTAAATGTCTACGTTAAAAAAGAAGCAAGACCTCAAGTCTATCACTTTGTTCTGCTCACTGCTAGAACCCCAGCTCTTCGAATAAAAAAAAAAAACCCAAACCTCTTGCCATCTAGTGGATTATGACTCATAGTGACCCTGTAGGACAGAGTAGAATTTCCCCATAGGATTTTCAAGACTTTAATCTTTACGGAAGCAGACTGCCACATCTTTCCCTCATGGAGTGGATGGTGGGTTCAAACTGCTAACCTTTCGGTTTGTAGCTGAGCACTTTAACCACTGTGCCATCAGGGCCCCTACTAGCTCCTGGAATAGAGCCACTCAGATAATTATTGTTTAATGAATGTAGTAGGCTAAGGAGTTGAACAAGGTCATACAGATAGTGAGAAGTGCCCTCAACCTCCACAAGGTGTTTACTGCCTCTAGACTCAGAAGCAACCACCTGGTCATTTGACCTTATAGCTTTCCTACAGGGAGGGAAATAGGCTGGTCAGGCCAACAAAAATATTTAGTTTGCCTGAAAATTAATAAAGTGGTATATGAACTTTATGTTTTAAAAAAGAGAGAGAGAATGAGAAAGACCTATTTAGAACCAAAAGTTATTTGGTTTTATTTTATCCCTTATGATGTATCTGCATCTGTTCTTTTTCTTTAGTAGTCTTAAATTCCACTATGAAGTTGTGTGTGTGTGTGTGTGCGTGTGTGTGTTTTACAACTTTGAAGATATTTACATATCATTAGAAACATTTGAAAAATACATTTATTCTCTTTATTATTGTGTAATACACCACTCTTGTGTCAGTTTGTTGTACTGTGGTGGCTTTTGTGGGACTGTAATGCTGGAAGCTATGCCACCATTATTTCAAATACCAGCAGGGTCACCCATGGTGGACAAGTTTTAGCGGAGTCTCTAGAATAAGAGACTAGGAAGAAGGACCTAGCAGTCTAGTTCTGAAAAAATTGACCAGTGAAAACCTTATGAATAGCAGTGGAACATTGTCTAATATACTGCCGGAAGATGATCCCCTCAGGTTGGAAGGCACTTAAAATACAACTGCGGAAGAGCTGCCTCCTCAGAGTAGAGTTGACTGTAACAATGTGGATGGAGTGAATATTTTGAGAACTTCATTTGCTGATGTGGCGTGACTCAAAATGAGAAGAAACAGTTGCAAACATATAGTAATAATCAGAACATGGAATGTATGAATCTAGGAATATTGGAAGTTACCAAAAATAAAATGGAATGCACGAAAATCGATATCCTAGGCATTAATTCACTAAAATGGGCTGGTATTGGCCATCTTGAATCAGACAACCAGATGGTCTGTTATGTCAGGAATGACAAACTGAAGAGAAACAGTGTCACACTCATAGTCAAAAAGAACATTTCAAGATCTATCCTAAAGTACAACACTGTCAGTGATAGGATAATATCCATATGCCTACAAGGAAGACCAGTTAATACAACTATTACTCAAATTTACACACCAACCACTAATGCCAAAGATGAAGAAATTGAGGATTTTTACCAGTTTCTGCAGTCTGAAATTGATCAAACATGCAGTCAAGATACATTGATAATTACTGGTGTTTGGAATGTACAAGTTGGAAAGAAGGAACAGTAGTTGGAAAAATATGGCCTTGGTAATAGAAATGACAGTGGAGATCGCATGATAAAATTTTGCAAGACCAACAACTGATTCACTGCAAATACCTTTTTCAACAACGTAAATGACAACTATATATGTGGACCTCACCAGATGGAATACACAGGAATCAAATCAACTACATCTGTGGAAGGAGACAACGGAGAAGCTCAATATCAGTATCAGTCAAAACAAGGCCAGGGGCTGACTGTGGAACAGACCATCAGTTGCTTATTTGCAAGTTCAAGCTGAAGCTGAAGAAAGTTAAAACAAGTCCACGAGAGCCACAGTACGACCTTTAGTATATCCCACCTGCATTTAGAGACCATCTCAATAGATCTGACACATTGAACACTAGTGACTGAAGACCAGGCAAGTTGTGGGATGACATGAAGGACATCATACATGAAGAAACAAAAGGTCATTAGACAGGAAAGAAAGAAAAGACCAAAATGGATGTCGGGAGAGACTCTGAAACTTGCTAATGAACTTAGAGTAGCTAAAGGAAACAAACACGATAAAGTAAAAGAGCTGAACAGAAGATTTAAAAGGGCAACTCGAGAAGACAAAATAAAGTATTATGATGAAATGTGCAAAGATCTGGAATTAGAAAACCAAAAGGGAAGAACATGTTCAGCATTTCCCAAGCTGAAAGAACTGACGAAAAAATTTAAGCCTTGAGTTAACAGTATTGAAGGATTCTATGGGCAAAATACTGAACAACACAGGAAGCATCAAAAGAAGATGGAAGGAATACGCAGTCACTGTACCAAAAAGGATTGACGAGCAACCATTTGAGAAGGTTAGCATATGATCAAGAACTGATGGTATTGAAGGACGAAGTCCAAGCTGCACCGAAGGCATTGGTGAAAAATGAGGCTTCAGGAATTGACGGAATACCAATTGAGGTGTTTCAACAAGCGGATGCAGCGTTGGAGGTGCTCACCCGTCTATGCCAAGAAATTTGGAAGATAGGTCCTTGGCCAACCAACTGGAAGAGATCCGTATTTGTGCCCATTCCAAAGAAAGGTGATCGACAGAATACGGAAATTATCGAACAGTATCATTAGTATCACATGCAAGTAAAATTTTGTTGAAAAATCTTTCAAAAGTGGTGGCAGCAGTACATCGACAGGGGACTGCCAGAAATTCAAGCCAGATTCAGAAGAGGATGTGGAACCAGGGATATCATTGCTGATGTCAGATGAATCTTGGCTGAAAGCGAGAATGCCAGAAAGATGTTTACCTATGTTTCATTGACTGTGCAAAGGCGTTTAAGTGTGGGGATTGTAACAAATTATGGATAACATTCCAAAGAATGGGAATTCCAGAACACTTAATTGTGCTCATAAGGAACCTGTGCATAGACCAAGAGTCAGTCTTTGGAACAGAACAAGGACATACTGTATGGTTTAAAGCTGGGAAAGGTGTGTGACAGGGTTATATCCTTTCACCATACTTGTTCAATCTGTATTCTGAGCAGATAATCCAAGAAGCTGGACTGTATGAAGAAGAACGTGGCGTCAGGATTGGAGGAAGACTCATTAACCTGTGATACGCAGATGACACAACCTTGCTTGCAGAAAACAAAGAGGACTTGAAGCACCACTGATAAAGATTAAAGACTACAGCCTTTAGTATGGATTACATCTCAACATAAAGGAAACAAAAATCCTCACAACCAGGCCTATAAGCAACAGCATAATCAACGGAGAAAAGATTGAAGTTGTCAAGGATTTCATTTTACTTAGATCCACAACTAACGCCCACGGAAGCAGCAGTCAAGAAATCAAACGATGTATTGCATTGGGCAAATCTGCTGCAAAAGACCTCTTTAAAGTGTTAAAAAGCAAAGCTGTCACCTTGAGGACTAAGGTATGCCTGATCCAAGCCATGGTATTTTCAATCACCTTTTATGCATGTGAAAGCTGGACAATGAATAAGGAAGACCAAAGAGAACTGATGCCTTTGAATTACGGTGTTGGTGAAGAATATTGAATATACCGTGGTCTGCCAGAAGAAAGAACAAATCTGTCTCAGAAGAAGTACAGCCAGAATGCTCCTTAGAAGCAAGGATGGCGAGACTTCATCTCACGTACTTTGGACATGTTATCAGGAGGGACTAGTCTCTGGAGAAGGACATCATGCTTGGTAAATTAGAGGGTTAGTGAGAAAGAGGAAGACCCTCAGTGGGTTGGATTAACACAGTGGCTGCAACCAGGTGCTCAAGCATAGCAACTATTGTGAGGATGGCGCAGGACCGGGCAGTGTTTTGTTCTGTTGGACACAGGGTCGCTATGAGTCGGAAACAACCCGACAGCGCCTAACAACAACAGCAGCAGTGGATATAATAAGAGGTTTGGTGAAGAGTAGAGGCCCTGAGATAAACTGTGTGGTTTTCCACCCTGGCACCCCACATCGCTGGCTTTGGGCTGATAACTCTCCAGGCCTTTGTACCTACTTCGTAGACTTGTGAGGATTCAATGAGATCATGCATGTGAAGTGCTCAGAATGGAGCCTGGCTTAGCATTATCACTTAATAAATGTTAGACATTGTTATTATAACACAGAATGGTGGTATCTCATTGTGGTTTTAATTCACATTTCTCTGATGGCTCATGTCGAGCATCTTTTCATGTACTTATTTGCCGTCTGTATTGCTTCTTTTGTGAAGTGTCTATTCAGGTCTCTCGTTTATTTTTCAATTGGATTGTTAGTTTTATCATTATTATTACTGAGTAGTAAGAGTTCTTTTAAATTCTGAATATAAGACCTTTATCAGGTAATTGTTTCATAGTTAAGCAGAGGAGAATGTTGTTCATAATACCAATAATGGTATCTAATATCTCCCCTCCCACCTCCACCTCCCCATTTTAGGTTGTGACCTTTCATTCCCTGGCAATAAGTTGGTCTCTGGAGATCACTGTAAGATCATAGTGGATGAAAAGTCTGGTCAGGTGTCACTGCAGGATACCAGGTGAGCTCTCTGAACGTTTTCTGTTTCCTCTTGTCACTTAAGGAGCCCAACTTAAAGTGAGCATGTTATGTGCCGTGATCAAGGAGGAGAAAATGACACCGTATTTATAAAGGGAAAATAGTGGCTCATTTTCTACAACTTGGGAGTTAATTAGGTTCTCAGGGTACTAGCAAGTGTATTTTCTAATTTTGAGGATGTTACTCAGTGAGATACTGAGTAACCCTTTTGTATCTATGACTCCTCTTGAATATATTCAAAAGAAAACAAAAATATCTCAGAACTAAGACTTCAAAGTGATTGGCAAATCTGCAGTCTTACAAACTTGTCCAAGTTTTACTTCTTTTCCTCAAATAAAAAAAAAAACTTTGTTTTTTTGTTAATAAATTCTTATACAACTGAAGTAGTGCTTAGAATTGAAAAGCTTTTCCTAATCCCACTCACAGGTTAAAAATGTATATGTAAGTGGTAGAATTCTTGCCTTCCAGGCAGGAGACCCAGTTCAACGTGCGGCCAGTGCTTAGGCTGGGTTCTCTAGAGAAGCAAAACCAGTACAGCGTATAAGTATAAAGAGATTTATTTCAAGGAAATGGCTCACGGCTGTAGATGCTGGAATGTCCCAAATCTGCAGGTCAGGCTAGAGGCTTCTACTGATTCATGTAGCCACAGGGGCTGGTGAACCAAAGATCAGCAGGTCAGAGAGCAGGGCTCTTGCTCACAGGCTGCGAAGATAGACGAATCCCAGGATTAGCATGCAAGACCACAGGTAAGCTGCTAGCTTAAATCCCAAGAACCAGAGGTCAGACAAGCAGGAGCCAACTGCAGGATCCAGAGCAATCAAAAGCCCACGAGCCTTGTCAGAGTCTGCTTATATTTGATGCAGTCCATATCCCCAAGGAAACTCGTTTTCAACTGATAGGCTACTCACAGCAGATCTCATCACGGAAGTGGTCCCATAATATCAGATCTCATCGTGAAAGTGATCACATCATCATACAACCGCCACACTACATCATAACTGCCGAACCGCTGAGAATCACGGCCCAGCCAAGTTAACACACAACCTTAACAACCACACACCTCATGTGCAGCCACCACCCATCTGTCATTGGAGGCTTGTGTGTTGCTCTGATGTTAAACAGGTTTCAGTGGCGCTTTCAGACTAAGGTGGACTAGGAAGAATGGCCTGGCAATCTACTTCCAAAAATCAGCTAATGAGAACCCTGTGGATCACAAGGTCCGATCTACAACACATCATGGGGATGGCACGGCACCAGGCAGCATTTCATTCCGCTGTGCATGATTCAGGGAGCAACTTAACAGCAGCCAACAACCAACGGTTTTATGTAAATGAGATTATACTCTGCGTACTGCTGTGTCACCTGTTTTTTTCACTTACGATATTTCTGGACTACTTACCTTGCAAGGGTGTCTAGACCCATCTCATCTTTTTCAGTGTGTTTTTATTTCATATATTATGTATCATCTCCCTTACTGATGGACATTTAAGTTAGAGTTTTTCTTCTTATAAATGACACTGTAGTGACTCTCCTTGTCCAAAAATCTTTGCATTCATGTCTGTTTCCTTGGGATAAATTTCTAGGGAAGGAATGCTATGTTAGAATGCACATATTTTAAATTTGGTACCAGTGGCCAGGGAGCCTTCCAGCAGCATGTTGGGAGTGTGTGTTCCCACCAGAGGGCTGTGGGGTTTCTGTACCGATGAGGAGCTGTGACATTCTTGGTAACAGTTCTAGGGGTAGAGGACTAGGGAGTAGCGTGCATTATGGGGAAAAACTGATACTCCTTTTTTATTGTTGTAGACAGTAGATTGAGTGGTTTACTCTTTAGCACGGTGTTGAACGATAGAGTGCTGGTTCTGGAGCTGCCCTGCCTGGACTCAGGTTGGCTGTCCCCTCGTGGTATATGACTGCATGACTCTCCTGTGGTCGCTGTAAAAAATTACCACAAAACAGGTCTGTTTTCTTACAGTTCTGGGAGTCAGAAGTCCAACCTGGGTCTCACTGCCTAAAATGAAGGTGTGGATAGGCCATGTCCCTTCTGGCTGCTGTAGGGGAGAATTCATTCGTTACCTGTCCCACTTCTAGAGGCTGCCATGTTCCTTAGCTTGTGGGCTTCTTCCGTTTTCAAAGCCAGTAATGGCCAGTGGAGTCTCTCACAGCGCTTTCCCCCTGGTTCTGACTCTCCTGCCTCCCTCTTTCAAGGACCCATTTGATTATATTGGGCCCACCTGGATAATCCAGGCTACTCTCCCATGAGAGTATCTGGGTGGGCACTGTATGTAATCACAGGGACCTTATAAGAGGGAGAGGGGAGACAAGTCAGTCAGAGAAGGAGCTGTTGTGATGGAAGCAGAAGGCAGAGTGATGGCAATTGCTGGCTTTGAAGCTGGAGGAAGGGGCCGCAAGCTAAGGAATGCGGCGGCCTCTTAAAGCTGGAGAGCCAAGGAACAGATTTTCTCTGGAGCCTCCAGAAGGTGCACAGCCCTGCTAACACCTTGATCCTAGGACTTCTGACCTGCAGAACTGTAGGATAGTAAATTTGTGTTGTGTTAAGCCACCACATTTAAGGTAGTTTGTTACAGCAGCCGTGGGAGACGCGTGCCCTGCACTGTTGCGGTGCCCAAAGCTCAGTCAGGAGGAGTGTTGTTCCTGCCAGAAATTTATTGTCATTTATGCACACAGTTTGCTCTTGCCTAGAGCCTGCCTCCAACGTGAGGATTGGGCACTGTGGGTCATGACTGTGGAGGGAGGAGCACAGATCTTTGGACAAAGCTGAGCACAGACATAGAGCGAAGCTAGAAATCAAAAGCACAGAGCTGCTGGTGGAGTCTGAGAACCCAGGAGGAGGAAAACGAGGGCAGCAGGGCATTTGAAACAACAGAAATTTTAAAACTCTTCATGAGACTGTTTGATCGCCAGTTAGGTTGTCAGTAAGGGAAGTTTCTTCTCAAGAGAACTGCAAAGAAGTATTTGCATATGTACTTCTTGACATATTTACTTCACTCCTCTGAGCATTATTTACAAATGGTAATAATGAGCTGCTTTGCTAGTGGTGCTAGAAAACAATTTTTAGCTCGAAGTTACTTTATCAAAGTTACATTGTTGTCTTCTTCACACAGTACCAACGGGACAGTAATTAACAAGCTGAAGATTGTTAAGAAGCAGACCTGCCCTTTGCAGACAGGGGATGTCATCTACGTAGTGTACAGGAAGAATGAGCCGGAACACAGTAAGAGAGCAACTCTCATTGGGGTAGACCACGGGAGCGGTACAGGGAAGGTCCTGCTGATATTGGAGAGCCAGTTTCTCTATGTGGAGAGGGTCTGCCCAGATGGGCAGTGCAAGCCTTGGCCGTCATTAGGAATGCTCCACGTCATTAGCTGTGACTCAGACGGCAGCCAAGGAAAAGTGAATGGAGACGGGTTACGTTGTAGATTGGAAGACAGTAGAGTCGTGGAGAGTAAAACCTGGTAACGGGACTGGAGGTTGTGGATGGTTCTGTTTTTGGAGACTTGTAAAAAAACGGTGTGGGGGTGGTGTCCAACCTCTTCTAACTTCACAGAGGAGAAGGAGAATCAAGATCAACAGCCCAAGGCTGATTCCTATGAGGCAGAGTTCACACATGTGTCCTCTCTCTGCCATCTTTACCATTTCTGACACCAACCATCCCTCCCATGGCACTCTCTACTTCTCTGCTGCATTTGATAATTCACTGTAATGGCCACACAGAACTCACAGACAATACTCATGATTATGGGGTTTATTATGGAAGTAACACATTACAGTTTAGGGTCAGGAACACTCAAGGATACAGTTCTTCCATCAGAACAGCCTCTTCCCAGTGTGCTCACAGGCACACGTCTCTGGCCCTCAGCCTCTGCCCTGCCTGGGCAAGTGTCATAAAGATTTTTTAGCTCTGCCAGTAAGTGCCCAGAGGCACCCTACTCCGCCAGCAAGCCTCCTGCCCAAAGGCACTCAGCTTTCTTGCTCCGTGGGCCAGGAGTCCTCCATGCCATCTCCTGTCATCGTTTCTCTGATATTGCTTCTTGAGCTCTCGCTCTCTCTCTGTCTCCTGGTTGCAGGAGCTTCTCAGTGCAGGGATCCTGGGTCCAAAGGACGCGCTCTCTGCTCCTAGCTGCTCTTCCTTGGTGGTGGTGGGATCCTCCCTCTGCTCCAGAATTGTCTCTCTTTTAAGGCAAAACTAACCAATCCCTTGGTGGGCCACAATTACCTCATTTGCAGAGTCCTAGCCAATCACTTGGGTGGGAGTTACAAGACCATGGCTAGAAAGGCCACACAAAAATGGTCCATCACACAGCAAGACTTTACAGGCAAAGGCAGATATTGGACTGGGTCCCACAGGGTCTTCCCAGCTCCAGAAGTCTGTGCTTATGTTTCTGGAAGAAGAAGGGTGTAGGACAGGTAGTTATGGAGATCCTTACAAAGGTCGGGAAAAAGTATTTCCAGACCATCGGTGGGAAGAAAGAGGAAGAAGACATATTCCCTGGGTCACGTTCAACACAATTACACCAGCCCGTTGCCACACAAGAGGGTCTTGTATCTGCTCTTTCATTAGTGTGGAATTGTAAGCAAGGCATAGGTTCTTCACCTTGTCCTCTCTTTGCCTTCCCTTAGTCTACCTCCTGATTCCAGACATTTGTTTCTGAGGCTTATTTCTTTTCCAGTTGGTTAAGAGGTTTTCAGTCACTTCTTTTGAAATCTCTTTACCCGGCTGAAAATTCAAAATAGTCAACAAAGGCAGTGTGACTGAAGTGACTGGTTGGGGACGTCAGAAGATTTAGGGAACAAAAGAAGAAAACTGACTTGTCACTCATTCACGGGCCTGAGCACCTCTGATATGATTTGTTTCCTTTCAGATGTGGCATACCTCTATGAGTCTCTAAAGGAAAAGCAAGGTGTCACACAAGAGTCCTTTGGTAAGTATGGCTGTGGCAAAGAAGTGGGTGCTCCTAGGAGAAGAGCCTGTCACTCACCCTAGTTTCTTTGCTGAAGTAGCAGTATCCCACAAGCCCAGAGTGCATGCTCCTTCTTTCTTTGTGGTTACAGAAGCAAATAAAGAAAATGTGTTCCATGTGACCAAAGATACCTCAGGGGCAGGGAGCGGTGGTGACGCCCAGGCCCTGCCCCCACCGCCTGCCACCCCGACGTGCTTTGAGGAGCCACAGCCATCCACGTCAACATCGGACCTCTTCCACACGGCCTCTACCTCGTCCGTGGAGCCTGCTTCTGTGGGGCAGGAGCAGATCTCCATGTCTGGTGAGACTGCGTCCCCTGCCCACATCCGACGGCTCACGGCAGGTCTGATGGGCCACCATTCTTCGTGGGTTAGTCCTGACCTACACTGTTGTAGAGACAGATGAGCCACTAGAGGATACAGAGGTGTATGTAGCATAAGATCCTCCGTAGTAAGATTTTCATAGTGCATAATATGGCCTTGTCATTACATTCCTCAGAGAAATGCTTAAGGTCAGGGACTGCAGTATGTAGTATTTTTTTACAGCTTTGTTGAGATATAATTTACATACCCTGAAAATCACCCACTTCAGTTAACTCATTGGCATTTGGGACATTCACAAGGGTGTGCAACCATAACCACTGTCCAATTCCAGGATATTTCATTGCTCCAAAAGGAAGCCCCGTTTCCATTAGCACTCACACCTCATTCCCCCTACCCCCAGTCCCAGACAACCACGAATCTACTTTCTGTCTGAATTTGCCTGCTCAGGACATTTCATATAGTTGGAATCATGCAACAGGTGGTCTTTTGTGATGGCTTCTTTCACTCAGCATCACGTTTTCACGGTCGCTCCAGAGCAGCACACGGTTTCAAGCCAGCTTCCCGTAGACAGTCCTACATCAGGGACATTTTCCTTCCTCCACGGTCAGCTTCCCGTAGACTGTCCTACAGCAGGGACGTTCTCCTTCCTCCACGGTCAGCTTCCCGTAG